AAAAAAAAAAAAAAAAAAAAAGGAACTTGCTAACTTCATGGATGTGGGGGAAAAGCAGTCCCACAGGCCGTGCTCTGGCTGGTTCTTTCCATAACGGATTTTTCTCCTATGGGGCCTGCCACACCACTGTCGAAAGGCTGAAAAATTTGATGGTTGTCAGAATAAATTCGCCCTCTCAACAGTTTGCCCCCCTTTAGCGATACAGCACTGTAGAATGGACGCACTTGTGAATGCAAGATTGGAAAAGACGAACGCGCTTGAGGGTACGACAAGCATTAGTCCATCCTGACCTCACACCCACTCACCAAATTCCTAAAAATGCGAGTTTTTAGGAATGCATTGTGGTTAGAAGCTTGGGATCCTAAAACTAAATCATGAAGCAAAATGTGAAAACAGCATAAGGAGCGTCCCTAAGTTTTTTATTAGAAATCCCCAAGCAAAAATAAAGCTCCTCACAAGGAGCTTTAAAATTCGGGGGTCTGTGTTCGCGGCGATGTCGCGAACTCTGTGGTGCAGATGTTGTCTGTGGGGCCACTGCGCCGACATGCCAGGCCTTCGGTGGCGGGATGACAGCAACAACAAGAACAGGTAGCCGTTGGGGTGGGGGCCTTGGCAGGGCAGGGACGCGATGCGGTATCCGGCCCCCACTATAGTGGACTGTTGGGTGCGGAAGGCTTGCAGGTGGGGAGAAGGGCTAGTGTGCCGCCTCCAACTTGGTCGATCTGGGTTGCACTACTACAGCGGGCCAACGGTCAGAATTCAAACTACCTCTGCATTCCCCCAGCCTGTGTCTTCTCCACATGGCACCACATTGTCTTCGTGGACTTCCTTGTCAGCATGCTGGATCCTGCAATGGTCAATCAGGCGGTCCGTGCACTCCGCGCATCTGTGGACTCCGGTGCTGTTGTTCACTGTCGTCGTGTTCTTGTTTGTTGTCTTCGTCCACGTCTGCTTTATGTTGAGGCTGCCGAAGCAACACCGCAAGTGGCGCGTGGGAAGGAAAGGGACATCAGGTGAACAACCCATAGAGAATATGAATGTAGGCAGAGGAGTAGCGACCGGACTTGTTGCGGGATCGGCCGGGGCTGTGCGTCTTCAGCGGTACGACCCGGTGCTGTACAGCCATCTCCATCGCTGACCTTCCACCCGTGCTGAACTTCGATATTGCCTGTGTTCGCTGCCTTTAAAAGCATCACACGCCGTGCACAGCTGGGGGGAATCAGTGCGTGAAAGACAAGCAAGCCTCTCTGTATGCTTCTTGTGCGGTGCCTTTGTATGTCATAGGTGGTGGCCCGACACCCTCCTGTCGCCCTAGCTTGGCCCGCAGAGATTCCAAATTCGAATTTTCAAAACTCTTGGCCATGCAATTTTTTTTTCCCACCCTTCAGCCATCTGGGGCTCGCATCCCTGTGTACCACGGACACAGGACGACGACGGGCGGACATCGGCGGTGCGGCTCCATGTCCACATATGAATCTGGCCGCGAGATAACTTTTAAGACTAGTCCTAAGGGCTCAAGTTTTACTATTCTTCTAACCAGCATGCATGCAGGTTAGAAGAATCGTAAAAATCTCTTAGGACTTCTTAGGATTGTTTTAGGGGTAACTTTGGCGCAGTCACGAAAACAGTTTGTAATTCCATTCGAAACTGCGTTTTAGCAGTTTAGTCAGGGCCCGAGTTTCAATTGCAGTTGAAACTCTGAAACTCGGGCCGCCTTTCCGTAGCAGTTCAGTCAGGGCCCTCGTCTATCCACGAACAGCAGATTAAAAAAAAAAAAAAAAAACATCCCTTATGCTGTGATTGCGGTCCGATACAGGATGCTACAGTACTTGTCTGGAACTCAATGAAGCGTGGAAT